TTTTGTCATATCTTGCCCTGTCCGACGTCTCCCCTCACCCCCTTTTCTGTTGTCCGTCCCCCAGGGAGGAGGTCACATATAGTCCCTTGTAATCGGTTCCTTGAAGCTTTCTAATGCTTCTTAGTCCCAATGCAATTATCTCAGGGAATTTAACAACAACAACAAAAATCTACTACTGCTTAATTTTTACTGAAAATGGTTGAGATTTGAATATGCTTTTAAAGTTTTCCATATGCTCCAGCTTAAAGGTAAACCTTTGACTCTAATTCCACAACGTCATGGGTATCAGAACAGAAGTACATTCCTCAGGGCTTCCAATTCTGTGGTCTGTGACCTTTCTTCCAAGCTTCTTCTGGGAACACTTGAACTTGAATGTCCAACATTTTCTTTAGTAGTTGAATGCTTAACTGTTGATAATCCATTTTTTGTATGGGGAAATCAGATTTATCAGTGAGATTTAGCAGAATATAAAATAAAGGCCATTTTTTCTCTACTGTCTAGAGCTTATTTTGAATTTCTAAACACTCATACAGGGAAGTCAGCATTTATCACATGTAATCATCTTCTAATCAAAATTTACTTTTACTTTATAATTTTTAAAAAATCTGACCATCATCCAACTATTTTCCTGCCAAAAATTTGCTTACTTAGCGAAAATATTTCTGTTAGGTTTCATCCTATAGCTGTGTCCATCCCAATATGGGGTCTCTAATCTTCCCCCTCTGTTTGATGTTGCCAGCCACCAGATGGAAAGACGAAGTACAACACCGCCACTTGTGCGATGCAACGCCTGACAAGCTTTTTAGGTTGATCCAGCCAGCATCTCGGTGCCGTTCTCCCACCTACCAACGTGGGAGCCAATACATATGGCAAGAGGAATACAGCTGAGGGCTTGAACAGAGCACCGCTGCGTTACTTGCCCCTTTAGAGGTCAACACAGCTCTGCACTTCTCATTGCTTTATGTCTGAGTCCTCCAGCGATTTCCTGTGTGATTGAACAGTGCCTTTGTAACGTCGAGTGTGATGATCTGAGTCTGTGTGTCCCATCTTTCCCCTATCAGATATGCATAACTATTTTATTGAGAATTATACTAAATCTATTACTAATTAAAGTATCTGAATAAGAAGGCACTCCTCCTAAACTAGAGATATGCTTCATTTCTATCACTTATATTGATTGGACCTGAGTTTGGGACTAAG